GAGAATGCGAGAAGAACCTATTAACATCATATTATGATAACAATGAAAATTAAAAGATTTTTTAAATTTAGAATAATATTAAAAATAATGCAAAAAGTTTTGAGCGGGGAAGAGTAATCTTGGAATTCAAAGAGATAAAATTTAAAAAACACGATCATAAACTCCGATCATCCGGCAACTAATAATATCATGGGCTGGTTATCGGTTATCTAGTAGACAACTAAGGAAGAAGGTGTGATAATCTTGGAGGACGAGATCGAACAAGATTCAAGGAATCAACAATGAATCAATGGTTCGGCTAGGGTTAGATTGATTCCTTTATTTGGGTGTGATGATCATGTGATCATGCAACGAGGTATCAACTACGAACTGAGTTTCACATGAGATAGTTCATATTTGGGTTTGACTACATTGGGTGTGATATTCATGTGATCAATTTGATTTGGGTGTGATAATCGTGTGATCAATTTGATTTGGGTATGATAATCATGCGATAACGCAACAATAAATCAATTAGGAACCAATTTTCACAAAAATATGATAAACACACCTAATTGATATGATCAATTCGATTTGGTTGTGATAATTATGTGATTATCACACCTAATCAAATCTCTCAGAGTGTTGTCGAACTCAATAGTGTATATCAGTTTAGCGATTATCACATGTTTATCATTTGGGTGTGATAATCGATTGGTTCGACGTGGGTTAGATCTCTTTCTTGATTTGGGTGTGATAATCATGTGATCATGCAACGAGGTATCAACTACGAACCGAGTTTCACATGAGAGGGTTCATATTTGGGTTCGACTACATCGGGTGTGATAACCATGTGATAATGCAACAATGAATCAACTAAGAATGGATTTTCAAAAACATACGAATCAGATTTGGGTTCGACTACATTGAGATGTAATAATCATGTGATAATCACACCTAATCGAATCGATTAGAGTGCGATCGAACTAAAAGTTGTATATCCATTTAGAGATTATCACATGTTTATCATGATTTGGGTTGATAATTGATTGTTTCGACTAGTTTAATTTAGTGCTGATCACATGTTTAACACAGTTAATATATCGAACTAAGGATCCAAGATTGAATGTGATCACATGATTAACACATTTGATCACACGATTACCACAATATGATCAACACGTTCCGTTGAACGTGAACAATCCCAAGCAAAACGTATGGGATAATTCTAATTAATTAAAATAAAATAAAAATTATAAAAAATACCTAATTACATTAGTGTTCTTATTGACTTATTTGTATTTAATATCATTTAAATGATTGATTAAAAAAGTTTGAGGTTAGTAGGTTATTCTCACATTCTCGTAAATCACAGAGGTTCTCGTTAGAATCTCACACACACACACACACACACACACACATATATATATATATATATAGGGTCATTCAAGGGAGAACTGGTTAGTTTGTGATAACTGTGAGATCCAATCTCAACCACAAACCAATAGTTAAATTAGGAAACTAATAATTTTGGTAATTTGACTTAAACTTTTAATTAAAGGGAATTTTAGGTATTTTTAAAATCTTATATATATTTTCTCTCCTCTCTTCGTCGAGCTTTATTTTGGGAAACCATATGCTAGCAAACACATAATGCATACTGTGATACGCTTCATAAAATAACGAAAAAACACAGTGTGATACACTTAGTAAAACAACATTACCTGATATATTGTGTTACACTTTATAAAACAATAAAAATATAATGTGATACACATCGTATAACGATAAATTTACACTATGATACCAGATCTGGTTGATGAACACAACTGTGATACCACTGTATTACACTCGACGTTACATCTCCAAATAGGTCTAGGTTACATCCAAAAACCTTACATCTTCTGCGTCACATCTCCGACGATATCTCGGTTACATCTCCGGCAAGATCTGGGTTACGTCCCCGATCTAAAATGAGATCTGAACAAAAACTAGAAACCAAAACTGATCTGGGTGTGCATAAACCAGATCTCTTGGGATATGAAAAACCGAAACCGATCTGGGTTGTTCTACAGGGGGAGTCGGACCGGTGAAGGTGAGTTGAAGAGATGATGATCGGTGGTTGGAGATGGATAGTAAATAAGAAGCAGTGGTGGCCAGAGATGGGCGAAGAAGGAGGCGTCGAACAGTGTTGGGCAAAGGGATCGATATAAAGTGTCGCACCAGAGAGGAAGCACGTTTTGGCGACGATGAGAAAAGAGGGTCATCGATGCGTCAAATCGTTGCGTCATAAGTTGTCTTCACTAGAAGATAGAATATAGATCAAAATCGCCCGATTTTGACAAAATGAGGATCTGATTTTTGTTACTCAAATTGTATACATGTGAGACTCATCTCTACCTTATAGTCAAAATGGCCCCAAAATAGTCAAAATCGTCTTTCATGGACGATTTTGGTGGTCATTTTATGGAAAATATCTAAAAAATGGTCATTTTGTTAATGTATTTATAGTACCGTGTATAAAATGGCCATTTTGGGTAATTTCATTTACGAAAAGAATTTAAACGAATTACATTTTCTTTTTTATTTGGTCCCATCAATTATTGGCATAAGTCGATTGGCTCCTAATGTATTTGCAGTATATTTTCTGTTTATTCTTTTAGTTTTATACTTATTTAATTAGGTGAAATAATCGAATTTATCTTTCAAAAATAAAACATAATTTATTTCAAAATTGTCATTTATTTAAGAATGTATGGTTAAAAATATTAAACAATAATCAATGAGAATGAAAAAAAATAGAAATTGTTTATTTTTATACTGATATAACAAGTTCATTTCCTTATAAACCTAAATTTTCATTCTTCATCAAACTAGGAGAATGTAAATTTATTCTCTATCATTTTCATTCTCATTTCCAATCGCCTTTTAACCAAATACCTCCTTAATTTTTTTTTCATCAGTTCTTAACCTTCAATTTGACCATAACCGTTGATAAAAGAATAAACGATTCAAATAAGTTTTTAAAATTAATATTAATTATTTGATTAACAAATGATTATATATCTTTTTCTATAAATAGATAAATATATACTCTCTCTCTCTCTCTCTCTCTCTCTCTCTCTCTATATATATATATATATATATATATATATATAGGGGCCTATTCAAGGGAGAACTGAGTTG